CAGGGGCACTCAACCACTGAGTCACATCCACAGCCCTATTTTGTACATTTTTAGAGACAAGGTTTCACTGAGTTGCTCAGCACCTTGCTTTTGCTGAGGTTGGCTTTCAACTCGTGATCCTCCTGCCTTAGCATCCCAAGCCACTGGGATTATAGCTATGCCAAAGCACCTGGCTACAGCTCTTTATTTTGATGCACTGATGTTTTGTCCAGTTTTTTTTTTTTTTTAACTAATGTCACACTATCTTCATTTCTGTAGCTGTAAGGTAACTCTTGAAGTCTGGCAATTTCGGTCCTCCAGCTTTCTTCTTCTGCTGCAATTTTGTTTTTTGCCTCTTTAAATAAACTTTATAATCAGTTTGCTGATATCCCCAAGATACCTTGCTGGGATTTTAACTGATATTGTATTAAATCTGTAGATCAAGTTGGGAAGAACTGATATCTTGAAAATACTAATAAAAACTAACATCTTGACAAGGTGTGAATATGGAATATATCTCCATTTTAGTACTTTTGTGATTTCTTTTATCAGATGTCAGTAGTTTTCCTTAAATAGATCTTATACTTATTTGGTTAGATTTATACCCAAATATTTCATTGGAGAGGTGTGTTCTAAGGTATTTACTTAATGGTAATGTTTTTTAACTTCAAATTCTTATTTATGCTGGAATATAAAATGTTATTGACTTTGTATGTTCACCTTGGGTCTTCCAGTCTTGCTGTAATTGATTTTTAGTTCCAGAAGATATTTTCATTGTTGTTGTTGGTTACTTTGGATTTTATACATGGATAATCATATCATCCAGGTCATCTGTTCACTGTCTTGATTGCTCCCTTTGGAGCATAAAAGTTAGTGGGTTATTTTCATTGAATTTTCTTGTAGTCCAGTTTGTCTATATTTTTATTGTTGTTGTTGCTTGAACATTTTGTATTGTATCTAAAAATCCATTGTCTAATCCAAGATCAAAAAGAGTTATATCTCTGTTTTCTTCTAAGAGTTTTACAGTTTCAGCTCTTACATTTAGGTCCATGATCCATTTTCAAATAACTTTTGTTTTTGGTATAAGGTTGAAATCCTCCTTTTTCACTTCATTTTATTTTTGCATACGGCTGTAAGGTTAATCCAGAATCATTTGTTGACTATTCTTTTTCCATTGAATTTTATTGACCCTCCTCTCAAAACTTCATTTGGCTATAAAAATAAGGTCTTATTTCTGATGTTAGAAATAAATAATAAACTACTTCTTATCCCCTTATCTTTTAAAACTCTTGGCTTTTCAGTAAATTCCAGATCCCTATTCTGAGAATTTCAAACCACATTTCCTATATAAAAATCTCTTATTACCGACTTCTCACATTTCTTAAGTTGAGTCTCCCAGAAGCAGACCATAAGGCCAGAATCTGTGTGCATGTCACTTACCAAGTAGGTGAGGACACATTGGTTGAGAATGGGGAAAATACGCACAGAAGGGAAGGCCGATGATAAAAGTGTTATTACTAAGTTATCTTCCAGAGGGCAACCGCAGTTTCAATATTATTAAAAAAAAATAAGAAAATTCAAACCATATATCTCTGAATGCTAGTTAAGAACTGTCATGTATAACTAAAAAGAACAAAGAATAAAAAGAGGTGAGGGAACTGGGGTCCTTTTATACAACAACTGATTATCATTGTTTGAGGCTTGTTCCTGAAAATGTTAATTCTCTGCTATTTTCAGCCTGCCATGTATGTGAGAAGAGGGGCTCTCTACGGTTCAACTTTAGACACAGGGATTCACCCTTAGAAGGAGGCTGGAGCACACTGACACAGTAAGCTGGAGGGATATAAAATGGTACTGATGCTGTCCTTTACACAGGTGAGGCTCTCTTTCAATGTGGGTACTTAAAACCCAGATCCTCCCTAAGGGACCTCAGGCTTACCCCAAGCACCACTTCCAGAGGCAGCCAGAAAGAATATGGAGAAAGAGAATAATGCCAAGTTACACTTGCAGATATATGCCATCCTGATCCAATGTGCTAGAGAAAATAAAACTTGATTCAACGGCAGTGCAGTAGGAAAGTGAGATACTTTTATATTTGAGGTCACTGTTGTAGTTGGGAGTCTTGGGCTGCAAGTGACAAAAACTAAATTTGCTTAAGGAAAAGAGCACTATATTAGATTATCCAGTCAAACTATAGAAACAGCAGAAGGAAGCTGGTCTTCTGGCACCTCTGGACCTGAGCCTCAGATATTGTGATTCTGTCTGTGCATTGTGATTTTCTAACATGTTTAGCTTCTCAGAGAAAGAACATGACTTTCTGCTACTTTTGGCTCACTTCCTTGTAGCTACCCAATTAGAAACTTCCCTGGCAACCATAATTTAAAACATTTTGAGGAAACAAACCAATGGACAACATTTAAAGACTACATAAAAACAAAAAAGACAATAACACCTTTTTTTTTTTCCCATGAGTTCTTGTGCACTCCTGAAATACCCCAGGACCCTCAGGTCACAATGGAACACTATTCCAAGGACATACTAGGAAACTCTGCTTTTCTGCAACTCTCATGCTCCTTTGAACAATAAACTCACAGCTCCCATGTTGCTGTTGCCTTGCGTTGTAAGACAGCTAGTTTTTTACTTGTTATTTTTGTGAAGAGATAATGAAAAATCTGAACTAGTGTCATCTATTTTTGTCCTAATTTTTAAACCTCTCAAATAGTGTCTTATTAAAAAAGAAGTCACAAATGTTGAAGCTGCCTAGTTACCAAGAACAACCGAGCTAGGTTTTAGAAATAGTGATTAACATCAAATATCAAATAATCAGTCCTCAAACAAAGATTAGAATGAGAAAGCCTTAATAATGCTTAGGAAACTCTGGAGTGGTTCCTTCATTGTTTCCAAGATATTATCACCACTCATAAACTTCAGGGATCCACCAGACTATGACACAATTGACCACACTTTCTTCTGGGAAGTTCAAAAGTCTGTGTCACCACCACCCCACACCCTTCAAGATTCATATGTAGAAACTCAAACTCCATTGTGGCTTTATTAAGGGGTGAGTCCTTTGGAATATAATTAGGTTATGAGGGTAGAGCAACCATGAATCAGAGTAGTATCCTTATAAAGTGGACCAGGTGGGTCTTCATGAAAACACACTGAGAAAGGTGATTCTGTGAAATAATAAGTTGAGCCCTCACCAGACACAGATGCTGTTGGTGCTTTGATCTTAGACTTCTCAGCTTCCAGAACTTTGAGCAATGAATTTCTGTTGTGTATAAGCCACCTGGCTGGTGGCATTTTGTTAGAGCAGCCCAGACGGGCTAAGACAGAGAGCTTAGGCTTTTTGCTTGTGAGGGAAAAAAAAAAAATCTCTTCAAGTAAGAAATAAAATAAGAACATTGAAACTACTTTCACTAGTAATGTGACAAACATAGCAAGTAGTTAGATGCTAATTCAGGCTATCACCTTTAATTAGGATTTGGGGAGGCTGAGTTCTGCTATCTTCAGTCTTTGGAAATGAGCACTCATTTCAAAGAGCTACCTTCTTTAAATAATTTAAATAGATATCCATTATAATTAAAGTAGATATTCAATAATGAATATGAAAATGACTTCTAAAAAATCCTTAGATTGGGTGACGGCTGCTTAAATGAGAGGTCCCTGTATAGAAAGAAACAACATCTGGCAGAATCTCGATTCAGGAATGAGGATGAACCATGAACTCTGCTGGAAACCTTCTGTGATCCCAAAACTTCCCTGGGAGGAGCAGCTGGTATGCAGACCCCTCCAGAGCTGCCTGGTGGGTCAGTCTACAGGTCTTAATAGCTGACAGAGGACAAATCAATCTGTTTCTGCTCTTCTGAAAAGGGCCAAGTGTTCTCCCTGACCCCAAACAAGAGTGGTTGGGAATGAGGCAAAGCATTAAAGGAATCATTAGACAGATCCTCAACATTTGCTAAAAATGTCCCTGCTGAAGTGTTCGACCTATGCAGAGAACTGGATGTGGCCCATGTGCACCATCACCATCTACAAGCCAGACTTTTAGGGGTGAGTAAAGAAGCATATAAGAAAAGTTTGGCAAAGAATTAGTAGGCTGCAAGATTTCGATTACCCCCCCCATTCTTAATAATTTCCTCTCTCTTTCTGCTTCATTATAGTATTTTCTCCCTCCTCTCCATTATCTGGTATTTTTTTTCCTTCTAATCCCCAGGTCAATAGAATAATAAGCTGTCATCAGCAAATCTATGCACAATTGCATTCAAAGAAAGAAAGATAGAAAAATAATAATTCAAAAAGATAAACTAGATACCACAAAGCAAATTTCATTAGTTATTTTTCTGATTTCCATATGCCTATAAACTTCCTCTAGGTTTCTGTTAAAAAAAAAAAGCAATGACTTTTTTCCTTCTTCTTTTTCTTTTAAAAGAATGTTTACAGATACTGCTTAAACTCAACAGTCCATATTTATTTTATGTATCTTACATTCCATCAGAGTGGAAAGGATAGATTAAACACTACTGCCACTTGGTTTGGAGATGAATTCCATGAATCAACAAAAATACCCATAAACATTCATAAAAATCAATCAACAAAAATACCCTTCTTGCTGTTTATAAAAATCAAATGGCATGCTGCAGTCCACCTCCTCGGCACATGTTCAATTAGCTCCCAGCACTGAGTTAGATTTGCTTCTTGTCCCTTTCATGATCTCTGATTGACCAACATCTTGGTTTTATGAGGTCAAACTCCTCTGCTCTGAGTAACTGTTTACCATCCACCATCATCTTGACTCTTGGAAGCTTCTCTGAGAAGGGCATTAACAGTTGTTTCCTGGCTTCATATGCTGTACATATGGATGAGTCATCGTGTCTATCAATCACAGCTGCCAAATCTATGCAGTATTCTTCACTCCCTTCACTGGTCTTTATGCTATAGAAGGAGTATTTCATATCAAGGTATTGGAAGCCATGTGAGTGACAGTTTTGTTCAAGGAAAATAAAAAAGAAATAGAAGTCATGCTTGCTTTGGCAGCATGTACACAAAAATTGGAATAATTCAGAGGAGATTAGCATGATCCCTGGGCAAGGATGATACACAAATACAAGAAGTATTCCATATTTTTAAGGAAGGGAATCATCATTTGACCCAGCTATCCCATTCCTTGGTATTTATCCAGATGGTCTAAAATCAGTATACTATAGTGATAATGCATACAGATGTTTATAGCAGCACCCTTCACAATAGCCAAGTAATGAAACCAGATTATGTATCTCTCAATAGATGAATGAGTAAAGAAAATGTGATAAACATGCACAATAAATGTTTTACTCAGTCATAAAGAAGAATGAAATTATGTCATTTTCTGATAAATGGGTGGAATTGGAGAGCATCATGCTAAGTGAAATATGCCAGACTTAGAAAGTCAGGAGTTGAATGTTTTTCTCATATGCAGGAGCTGGGGTAGAGAAGAAGAATAAATATAAAGTTTTTTAAAAGTTGGGGAGCTTATGAAATTAGAAGGAAGACCAATAGAATAGAGGAATTAGATCAAGAGGGAGAGAAAGAAAAGAGGGGAGAGCGTGGGGAAGTACTAAGGAATGGAATCTACCAAATTTTGCTATGTCCATGTATGGATATACCACAATGATTCATTCATATATATTAAAATAATTAAAATAACAAAACAATGATAGAAGGGGTAGATGTTACAGAAAAGTGAAGGGGTAGAGGGTACAGCAAGGTACTGGGAAATGAGATTGATCAACTTAACTTTTGAGCATATATTCATCTGAGTATGTCATATGAATCCCAATGTTATGCTTTATTATAAAAACAGTTAAAACAAAAATCACAAATTGAAGTCAAGACTGTGAAGCAGTAGTAGTTGAGGCAGTGTCTGGAGAATATGGTTGGGGACAGACAGAGGCAGGAGAACTGATTCATTCAAGATAAGAATGGTGTTTTAAAGATGGCCGTGATTTAAGGTGGTTAGTGTCATAGTGAGTGAGCCAGAGGACAATGTGAGCCTAGCCAGGATGAAAGACAGAAAAGTGAAGGACATGATGGAAGAAGCCTCAAAGCGGGAAAAAGTATTCATTGTTAGAAACGTCTAAAAAAAAAAATGCCTTCTGAAGACATCTGAGAGTTTGAGATCCAAGAAATAGATAGGAAAAAAACCAAATTAGCATGTGGCTGAACAAGAAAGTCCTATATTCACAATCAGAGGATGATGAGTGGGCTTCTCTTGAAAACAAGCCCAAGGCACTTGATAACACTGACTGCAAAGCTTGTATTGAAATAAAAGTGAATTTCTTTCATTTTAAATATTGCACTGGATTCTGACATGGAGCTCAGCTGACAAGAAAATTCACTTTCAATTGCACACAAAATATTACCTGAACTTGCATTAGAATAAGCCTTTCAAAAGTCTGAATGTACTGTGAATTGAGCAAGAATCGAGCTCTTTTCTAAATGCCAATATCAGAGAAGTATTAAGAATACTATGTTTCCATTACAGATCAGAAAAAAAGGCACTGGAAATAATTGGCCATTGGCTATCACTGCTCAGAACTTAGGCTCAACGTTTCTGTTATTACAGTAAAATTCATCACAAAATGCCAACAAAAGTACAGAGCAAGTTATACCTGTACATGACATGTGATGCCAAGATTGGTGGTCCTGGGACATCTATCATAGAAGGAGTCTATTACAAGGAAGAAGTACTGACTTCTGCAGTCCTGCCTCCTGTTCTTGGGGTACATTAAGAAATAAAAGATAATTGTATCTCCCCTGGCTATTTCCATAATCAATCAAGTTTTTATATCTAAGCCACCCTCTCTCCCTCATCTTCCCAGCTACTGTTCTCTCCTACCTTCCATGACTATTATTTCTCTGCCAAACATGAGAAGAGAACAATGGAAATTATGGAGTTTAATTGATGTTATCTCACTGCATGTGTCCTACCTCACAGAACAGAATGGTCAGATATTTGGTCAAAATATTTTTTTTCTAGTCTGCAACTGAAAAGTCTAGGAGGACAAGTCACAGTCTGCCACCTCTTACACTCTGAAGAGTGACCCTTTATTACTGCTCTCTGGGTTGGACTCAGTGTCACAATCCAACCTGAAATTAGATCTCTTATCTAGGGTAATCTGAGCTGAATACAATACATTAGATGCCATGGATCTCTTGCATTCTCATTACACTCCCAGTATGTCTTTTTCTGAACACCAAGGGAAATGCAAGTAAAAGGAAGTAGATAGGTTCATATGACTGGTGACGGGGAATGATCCAGAGAGTGCTGATATATTTGTTTGTGAATACCTTAGCCCCAATATGCAAGAAACTCAAAATAAGGATTTTCTGTTACCATTAGAACCTGGTTAAGTATAAAATGAACAAATTTCCATCTACTCTGCTGGCTTCAGAACTGTGAATTTCTTCAAAAACATGGCTTTTGTCATATCATAATTTTGGTAATAATTGTTCTTTGGTAATAGCTTGATAGATCAAAAAGCCATGTTCTTGAAGGAAGCAGATTATTTATGTTCTCACAATATTCATATTAGAAAGATTCACCTACCATTTGCATGTTAAAAGTTTCAAAGACCAGACTGGGGTGTTGGCTCAATGGTAGAATGCTTGCCTAGCATGTGTAAGACACTGGGTTTGATTCTCAGCACTGAATATTAATTAATTAATTAAAGGTCCATCAACAACTAATAAAAATATTTTTTAAAAAAGTTCCAAAAACCTAGCCACCATTCCTTCTGTGTCATATTTTAATACACACACACACACACACACACACACACACACACATACACACATACACACACATGTGCACACACACAGCATGCATTCATTGCCTCTGATGGGAATTAGAACCAGTGGAGTTTCTTCAAGACACTGCTGTCCTGATGATGCCACAGTGGCTTAGACCTTTGGTTTGTTTATTAGTTTGTGTATGTGCATCAGTGGATGCTTGCTTCGTTTTATTCCATCTGTTTTGCAATGAACACTCATGGCAGGGATGACCTTTGTGCTGCATTGTTTGTAAGTTTTCCCTGAGGCTGATGGCATGGCATAGCTGATGAATATGATGAGATGACTCTGTCAAACACTGCTGGAGAAGTGTGGGTGCCTACAGAGTGACGTCTGAGGCTCCTATATGAACAAGAGAGTGCGTGCGTGCGTGCTTGGGCATGTGAAACAAATCTCTGAGGATTGATCACGCATTCATTGATTTGTTTATTCATCCATGCCACAAATACTTATTGAACTAATGTGCCCGGTTCTGGGGATAAAAAGAGCAAAGACAAGTGACTATTCAGGCTCTTACAAAACTTACTAACAGGAAAGAAAGATACTGCTCAAAAGATCAAAATATAAATAATAGGAAATATTAGCTTCAAAGAAACTATATTGTGCTGAATTATGTTCAGAGTCTTAGATTAAATAATAAGAATGAAATGAAGCTGGCTAAAGGTTTTGGAAAGTTATAATTATGTGTTCAAGTATATTTAAGGATATTGTACACATTATATTTTCTTGTTAAAAAGAGTCCTTTGGTTCAGTATAATTAACTGAGATTGTTTTTGTCAGAGGAAGAACATGTCTTGATCATCTAGATATTTAGAGATTAAGTCAAAATAAATGTACAAATGGTACTTCACAGGTAACCACAAGGGAATGGAAATTACAGAGTTGAACTATGTAAGAGTTTGGGTAGGGAAGAGTAATAAATCAAATGCTGAATGCTTGGTGGATGGATGAAATAAACATGCAGACCTTGCATGCTTAATGATATAGTGAGCTTGGTGCCTGCCATTGTGTCTCCTACATATGCATCATGTGGCATATGCATCATTAGCCTAACTGGAGAAATGGAAAAGAGCTCATATTGCCTTGTCTGTTCTATCAGTTATTTCCATTTTTCTAGACTTTTCTAATGGTCTGTTCCACTACTCCTGATACTGAGAGGTAGCAGAGGCCATTCCCCAGGTGGTGCTATTGAATTAGGTAGGGTTGCTAGCTATTGGGTCAAGATGGCATTTCAATCACTCTCCTAGCCCTTTGCTCCCCCTATCAGGGGCAAGAGAGGAGTGGACACACAGTCCAAGGAGCCAAAACCTTGGTAAAATGAGCTAGTAAACAGAAAGAACAAGAAGTGGAAAAGAGATAAACACAATTTGATGGACTGAAAAAAAATTGAGATGGTGACTCAATCCAATTTAGCAGTACAGAATATTTCTTAGCAGAATGGGCAGTTCAGGCTGCGGTAACAAAGTACAGTAGACTAGGTGGTTTAAAGAACAGATATGTATTTCTTATGGTTTTGGAGGCTAAGAAATCCAAGATCAAGGTTCCTGCTGATTATGTTCCTGTTGGAGTGTCTTCTCCTGGACTTGCAGATGGTTGTATCCTCACTGTGTACTCACACAATGGAGAGAATTCAAGCTTTGGTTACCTTATGGTGACTTGAATCCCACATGAAGGCTGCATTCCTCTCCTGACCTCATGTGAACCTAATTACCTTCCAAGCCCCTCTTCCAAATGTCATCACACTGGGAATTGGGGCTTCAACATATGAAAGTGATGGTTGGGGAGCAGCCTTGAACCTTCATTCAATAAGAAATAAACACTAATTTCAAGACCTAGTATGGAGTCATTGTCAATTTAATCATTGCGCTTTTATAATTGGATCTAGAGGTGACTGTTTCTTGTCTCATAATATTGTAATTTCTGTCTTTTAATAAGTCTGGTAACTCAGTATTTTAAAACTGAGTCATTTAATTTTACATGTTTACAAAATTAACTTCATAATTTCCAAAAGCTGTCTCTTGCTGATTTCTGGCTTAGTTCTGCAATTGTCTGAGAAAATACTTTGAATAACTTCAATTAATATGTATCAATATTTATTTTGTAGCACAGAATATAGTCTACTTGGGGGAGTCTTCCAGGTATGCTTAAAAAGAGTATATGTTCTGCTATAATTGGGTGAAAGGTACAAGAAATGTCAGTTAACCAAAGTTAATTTATAGTATTATTCAAGTCTTCTGTGTATTTTCTGATTTTTTATCCCTTTCCCCTCAAAAAAGAGGGGAAAGGTAGATACAAAAA